GGCGCCGTCGACCTCGATGCGGGTTCCAGCCAGGTGAGGTGCGACCGCGTCGGAATCGAGCTCAGTGGGAACGAATGGTGCGCGTGTTTATCGTGGTGGATCTCGTTGGGTCTATAGGCCTACTGGCTATCGTTTGGGCCTTCGGCTTTGTTGTTTCCATCGTGCCATATGCCAAGTCCGTTTTCACCTAAAAAAAAGAACAAAATGCCAAGTCCGTTTATTCTGGGATGTTACTACTAAAAACAAAACCATTCCCTCAAAAATGAAATATAAAAACAAAACCAAAAAAAAGTTTATTCTGGGATGGTTCTCAAGAAAGATATCGGATTGTCTCTAAGCGCATATATTTCCTGCTTCATTTGCATTCTTGCTGCAAAATTTATTAAACATCTTTTTTTTTCGGGAGAAAATTTATTAAACATCGGGAAGATAAAGGAACCAAAAACAAAACAAGCTCGTGTAGGAAGCCAAGGGATTTATAACTAGGTCATATTTTAGTTATCCAACGTGCGGTAATACTTTATTATATATGCGAAGTAACTAGCGTTGTGCCGGCATGTGGGAGTAGTCCACTCAAAATGATAGATAGAGTACGACCCATTTAAGTAAAGAGATACGAGGGGAGCTATCTTTTTTTCTCCGATGATCCTCTCTTACATCAGTTGCCGCAAAACCTCACAAGGGAAGTTCAACTTAGGGCCTCCACTTCTTACCTTTTCACTTCCTACCGTTGATTTCATGTCTGCAACATCGATTATTCAAATGTAAAAGGACACTATTATTGACATCTACATGAGATTACCTAAGACTTTCACGTCGTAAGAATAATTTAGCTATGCCATGAAATTGCTAAAAACATCGTCAATAGGATTATGCTCTAACTGAAAACTCTAGTCTAGTAATAGCGCCAGCAACCCTCACCCACAAAAGAGAAATTCCATGCATGCATCTAAGTATCTAACGGAATCTTACCCTTGGTAAAATGCTGAGATCAAGCAATGTTATCGGGTTGTGGTTGCAGACCGGGCTTCATATCTTCCGTGTTCTTCTCTAAACTTGCCCTTCTCCATGCGTATGGCAACAGACGCTCGCTCCTTTCCAAACCTTAGCTAGTATTGATTAGACGACACCGACACCACCACAAAAAGTTGATGGAAGAAAGGAGTTCACAATCGACAAGATTAACACTGCGCGAGGGCACACAACTTAGTGGTGGCGGGGATTAGTTTGGCTTAGGGTTAGCTGTCAGGTGCATGTGGATGTAAGGGTGAGACATGATATGTAAACCCACAAGTAGACATTTATTAAAATAACTTCAAAATGTATCAAAGCTGTCTCGAAATACAACAGAAAGGATCGAATTTATCGAACTCTCCAAAATTCATTTCAACTACTAACGCATAATCTTAGTGTGATTTTCACTCTCTCGAAAAGACACACTTAATCATAGTTTATAAAGTCAAAACTTGGTCACATCCACTGACAATTGGGTTGTGCCACAATTAATGTTTTGCCGGGGTATTTTAATGGGTTGATTTATAAAAACGTTTCATGCTTGTGGCCTGCATGAGTAACATGTTACCTTGTGGACCCCAATAATGCACTAACGTCAGCTAGGGAGGTCACCCAAGTGAACTATCTGTCCTACGGGAGGTCATCCGAGCGAACGCCGCTATCTAGGAGTGTTCCCTCAAAAAGCCACTCCGGGCCCATGTTCGAGAATTGCCATGCTAAAATAGATGTATTTTACCATGCTATTGTATAAAGATTTTTCATTCTATTGTATAAAGATTTGCCATGTTGTAAAGAAAAAATTGACATGCTAGGAGAAAAATTGTCAAGAATTTGCCATGCTGCAGAGTAATTGCCATATGTTTCCAAAGATTTGCCATGCTGCAATATGGAGAATTGCCAGCCTAAAAAGGAATTTTCTAACTTGTTTGGATTTGCCATGTTGGCAGAATTTTTTGCCATGCTACATCTGAAGGATTTAGAATTTGTCATCCTGAGCAAATCATTTAGTGCCGCTAGCTCATAGTTCGCTTAGAGGGATGGGTATGGCAAACAGTGATTGCCACATGTCTTGCTTTGAGGACACAGAAATGGACGTGTTCGCTCAAAAAACTTCCTCGAGCCGACGTCAAATTGTCAGCATTTAGGTATTTAATTGAACCTCCTCTTACCATGAAAGGGAGAGTGTTGTACCAATGCATGCTTAGGGATGGCACCCGCAGGGTATGGATACGGGTGGAGCTACCTCATACCCTTACCCATCCACCCTGAACTTACCCATCACCCATACCCATACCCGTCAAGGGTACAATTTTTTCCCATACCCATCACCCGACAGAGTATATGGGTACCCGCGGGTAAATATACCCGCATTTACAACACATCAATTGAGTAGAAAATAGTTGTAAAAAGCAATATATAATCATAAATTATTAATAGCAACAAATTTTAAACAACAATGTACAATAACATATTGTAACATTAACACATTCTCATAAACAAAAATACTTGCCTATAAAGTGACACATAAAAATGTTAAAAAAACAACACATAATCATACATAACAACACATATGTATACACTTTAAGTTCACAAAATCAAGATAAATCGTAGAGATAATTTGACTACACATTAGAGTTTTTATCTAGCGTGATTAGGAGGGTAAAATTAATACATTATGATATTAACAGAAACCATTTGTTAACATTTTAGATGGGTACATGGGTACGCGGGCATGGGTTATACGATCCCATACCCGTACCCTTTCCACCCGACGGGTATGATATTTTTCCATTTAAGTACCCATGGGTAAATTTTTATCCCATACCTTTACCCTAACAGGGTTTTTACCCGCAGGGTACGTGGGTAATGGGTACCCATTGCCATCCCTAGCATGCTTTGTAGAGCAGAACATGAATGTCGTCTCTATTAATACAGATGATAATGCCAATTACTCCATATTTCCTACTAGGTTAAAACCAATGCAACTTTGCACACCTTTTCATCCATAAACTCGGATCTTTGTTTACAACCACGACTAGAACATGAAAAAACATCCACATGCCTTTCCTGAGGTTCCTGACTAGTTTTATCTTCTACTATCTCCTAACATTTAGATATGATCACGGAGACCTCCGGTGCCGGGTCTCGTCACCTTCGGCTATGCTACCCTCTGGCTTCCACATGACGTCCTTCAGGCCATTCGAGATACTATGGTAAAACTGCACAGGACGTGAATATCATGCAACAGATTAGTCTAAAAACCAACAGCAAAATTCATCTTTTTTGAAACAGTACGAAGTTCCAAAGTAATTTCACTGCAATATCTCAGCTTGAACCTCACCTTGTGGAATTCGAGGGTATCGCCATTCGACTTGCGGAGCTCCACCATGTAGAGTGAGGGTGTCACTTCAAAAACCTGAGGTTATTACAGATGGAACCATGTCAGTCCATATACCATGCAAGAATAGTGCAAAGCAACATATAACAAGGCAAAGCGATTCTCTCAACAACAACAACAAAAAAAACAAGGCAAAGCGATACTATGAAATAAAATATACCTCTGTTGCAATTGCCAGCTGACCTTTCCTTCCAGGATTCTCTCCTTGCAACTTGAGCTGATTTGATTTAATTCCAGAAAATTGTCATCAGGATAATGTTCAGGTAAAATGGAAACATGCTGTAATTGTTTTTTTTATCTGCTAATATAATAGGCACCTTGTAGTTGCGCTTCTGTACATTGAAGCCCATGGGTCCTGCTGCTGCTTCAATTTTCGACAATATTTCGTTTGCTGGAAGCCTCGACGCAAACCGTGTTTCACGTTTAACAGAATCCTATTTATAGCAAGATTTTAAATTAAAAGGAATCCCATTGTTATAAAACTCTTAATTCATGAACAATTTGAGATGTTGAGCATACCGTTTGCTTCTCAAAAAGTGTGCCAAGATTGAGGCCCTGGGAGGTAGAGATCAACTCGAATGCATTCATCACTGCCGGTCTTTCTTCACGTCTCTCGACAACAAGCTGTGCTGGGTCCTGGATCATTACAAAAAATGTTACCAAGTCCATCCACCGGATTAGGACACATGTTGATATAACATGGTGAGAAAATACTTACCCCAGATTCGTTGAAAATAGAGTTAATGTCATCCAGATTAACTTCTGCTGTCTCAAACCTAGGAGGCTGATATCCTTTCTTGAACCACTCATTGTTAATAACCTCAGCAATAGTTATTCTCTGCACAGGGCAATAACAATGACGTGAGCTATCTCTCAGATATAAGCTTTGATAAAACAAACTGACATGATACCAACGAACAGATGAACATACAGTGTTAGGATTAGGATCTAGTATCTTCTTGATGAGCTTCTTCGCGCTCGTCGAGAACCAAGATGGGCAACTGAAGTCTGCTTTGTATATCTGCATGAACAAGCAGGTTATCTTTCAGGCACTTAATTATTCTGGTAACATCGACCAAGCACTTGGATCATATTAGTAAAAGCATTTTTTTTCGTCGCAAAAAGAGGAACTTGCTTTTGACAACAAAAAAACAGCAAAAGTAATTCACCTTCTTGTAAAGCGCCATGAGATTTGAATCTTCAAACGGAAGGTAGCCTGCCATGAGGACAAAGAGAATCACCCCACATGACCACAGATCAGCCTTGGCTCCGTCATAACCTTTGTTGTTTATAACCTGTAAGCCCAAGAGAGTATTGAAAAATGAGAACAAAATATTCACTTGAATGGAGAGAAGTAGATAATTAATTTAAGGTGTGGATGCAAATGAATAACCTCGGGAGCAACATAATTGGGAGTTCCACAAGTCGTATGCAACAGCCCGTCCTCCTGCAAGATAGCAGAAAGATATGCAGAAATAATCGTCAGATTCTATCGGCTGATCCGCAATCACGCTGTCAGATAAATAGCAAAACATAAAAGAAGCCAGGCCCGCTGGAAGGAACACTGAATTTTCCATCACAATGGTTTTTTTATTTTTTGAGGGAAACAGCAGGACTCTGCTGCATATTTTTATTGATTTTAAATAAATAATACAAGGTTCAAGATGGAAAAAGAGAAAGCAGTCAATTAGCTTACTCTGACTTGCTGCGATAGGGCGCTGAGTCCAAAATCGGACACCTTGAGAGTACCGTTAGCATCAAGCAGAAGATTTTCAGGCTGAAACGTGGAAGAAGAAAATGGTATCAGACCACTTTTTGTTTCTTCGCATAGGGCAGATGAGTAACCACCACGGCACCGGCCCGCCACGATACCTTGAGATCACGGTGATAGACACCTCTGCTATGGCAGTAGTCGACAGCGTTGATGAGCTGCTGGAAATATTTCCTGGCGTCGTCCTCTTTGAGCCTCCCACGCGAAGCCTAGACCACGATCACCGCAAAAGTAAGCATATAGGCAGAGTGGGAAGCAAAGCATAACCCAAAATGTTGAGCAAGGTATATACTCACGATTTTGTCGAAAAGTTCGCCACCTGTGACAAGCTCCATGACTATGTATATCTTTGTCCTGCTGGCCATCACCTTTAAAGGACACGCCAATTAGAAGTGGACATGGTCATTTACATACATAGTCGAAAGGCAAAAGGTACGTAGTTTTAACCAGAAATCAAAAGATAACCAAAAAAAAAATATAATTTCCTCATGCGAGGAATATGAGCAAATAATTAGTAGTCCACTGTACTTTGCTTAAAATGAAGATGATGATTTCAGGTTGCGCTAGTACTACTAGTCTATACCTCGTACATGCGGATGACGTTGGGGTGCCTGATGAGCTTCATGGTGGAGATCTCGCGCTTTATCTGCAGAAAGAAGAGGTGTATCATTCAGAGGCCAAACAAAAACAAAAGTGAAGAGCCAAATTTGATCACGGCCGCCAACTAAACTCTGCGCTTTCCAACCAACGCGCACGAGACGCCCGCCAAGCCTTGGTCTTGGTCTTGGTCTTGGCCTCGGCCTCGGCCTCGGCCTCGGCGGGCGCATTGAATTGAATTGAATTGGCGGTAGAACGCTATTCTGGAACGCCGTTGCTGCTGCCGGTTTCACGGATTCTCACGTCTAGGCGTTCCAGCAAGTCCAACTAGTAGTACTACTAGTAACTCTTTCGTCCAATGGTTTTCACCAAACATTTTTTTAGAAAAAAAAAACAGCCCTATAAACCTCCCCTTTTTTTTAACAATAACAATGCTTGATGATCGAGAAAGATGATCAAGGCTATGCCTCCCTTTTAGTACAACAGAAATAATCTGAACAGGCCATGGTTTTGGATTGGGAAGAAAATAATCTACAGTTTTTCTTTTTCTTTTTGGCCTTGGCTCCGAAGAAGAAGAAGAAGAAGAAAGACAAGATGGAAGATGGAAGTACCTGCGCGATCATCTTGTGCTTGAGGACCTTGTCCTTGTCGAGGATCTTGATGGCGACATTCTCGCCGGTCTCGACGTTCCTGGCGAACTTGACCTTGGCGAACGTCCCTTCCCCCAGCGTCCTCCCCAGCTCGTACCTCCCCACCCGCGTTCTCCCGCCGCCGCCGCCGCCGTGCGCGCTCATCTTCCCTCCCGCGCTCGAATCAACCATTCAGCCAATACCCACCGATTAAAAGAATTACCCGATAAACAGATCTGTTCCTGCGGGCGACTAGGACCTCTTCTTGTCGCAGGGCCTCCACTGCACGAAGAGCTCCTTGTTGTCCTCCCCTTGCTGCCGATGCCGCATGGAGTCTGGTGGTAGTTTGTTCTCAGCGAACTCGTAGAGTCGCAGGCATGGGAGTGGGATCAAGATTCAGGAAGAGAGGCAGTAGTAGTGGCGGTTAATGGCGGAACGGTAGGGGAGAGAGGAGAGGAGGGGGGATGGTGGTATGTATAGGCGGGCGGAGGCGGAGGCGGAGGCGGAGAAGAACGAGGGGGTGCGAGGAAGAAAGCGCGGTCCCGCCGCGTGCGTGCGTGCGTAGTGACGTCTCACGAAGGTGCGGTGCGGTGCGCCGAGCGTCGCGCGTGCGGGCGACCGGGCGAGCTTTCCTACAGCCCGCCTCTCTCTACTGTTCACTGCCGCAACTAGAGTTTGCTGCTCTGTCCGTTCAACGACTTTGCCACGATCTTCAAATTCTCTCTATATATATCTTCAGTAGTTCAATCGTAGTATTTCTTTTTCCAATCGTAGGTATATTCCACAATTAATTAATGGTCCTATATTTTTTTCTTCCCCAAGAGCTTGTTTGTACACTCGATGATATCATAGAAAAGCACATGAAACAAATATATGACACATGGGTGGCCCGGCAGTGCACCATCTGTATTCCACCACTATAAATTAGCGTTGTCCCTATCCTTTCGAAATCTTGCAATATTTATGCTCTATTTTTTACTCCTCGAGGAAGTGGCCGAGGTACACGCGTATTCAATTTTGGCTATTTCTCCATATACCTTGACTTCTCCTTTTGGCACAACACGATGACGTCTTCTTGTTTTGGTTTGTGTTGGTTTACAGGCGACGCCAAATAGTAGTGATCGCAACAAAGAGGAATACGACGAGCGCAACCGTGGATGGCTTGCCAGTATTGCATTTGTATTTTGTTGCTACCAGTCTTTATAACGGTGATCTTGATATACTGATAGAGGCAAAGGTGTCCCGTCTTTCGATGAGATGGTGGCTATCTTTTTGGTGGAAGTCGACTTTGACGATCCGACTACGAACGTACGAGGACGTCGCACCTTAGCAATCGCTAAACCAATTTCGAGAGGTTATTGACCACGTCGGAGCACGATCAGCCTGACCACGAAGGTCTATTTCATGCAAGCAAATGAAGAACAAGCAAGAAACTAAGATTGCAATCTGTATATCGCGAATAACAGAGGAAAGCTTTATTAGTGAAGGTGGGGTTCTGTGACGCCTTTGTCTGGTCGTTGAACACAAACGAAGTACGCAAAGTTGCAGCTATGACAAACTTTTAATCTAAACAAAACCCAAAGTTTAAAGGACGCCCTAAGGGCTATATATATGGAGGAAGAGGGGGAATTTCGTGGCCCTTGGGGAAGGGGTCCAAAACGAACTCTATCTCTTTTTTCCTACACATACGGACTCTAAAAATAGCCTGTACTCAAGTATTTCGAAAAATACATGGGCCTGGCCTAATAATAAGGTGACGCAACACCTAGAATAGCCTTTAGACGAAAGTTATGAAGTAACATCTTGTATATTTCGTCCAAGGCTTCATGCACTCATTATGGTGGCTTCAACGTCCTGACATCATCACTTGAAACTCCGTTTTTGTTCCCCTTGCGCATGCCATCATCTCCATGCTTGTTCTTGCTCCAATGTTCATCCTTCTCCAAGCTAGGCCCTTCATTTATAAGCAAAACAAATGTATCCAATTTAGGCAACATCATATTCTCATGAACATTAGAATCATTACCAAGAAACGGAAGTACCTAGTAATTTAACTGTCGTGCGCGAGCTCTAGTAATTGGTCCAGTATGTATAGCAGCAGGGGCTGTGGGTGTAACAATGATATTGATGTCCTCATCATATACTATCCAATGTTTTATTGGAGTCACTCTCTTAAACTCACGAACCCATTGTTACAGAAGGATTGTCTTGAGCTAGTTTAGCACGTGGTTTCCTATGATCAAACTGTTTGACTTAAAACAATGGTTAGCAGGTTGCTACTTTTGTAGTCTTTGTTGCTACGTTTGAGTGTTTTGATTTGTAAATATGTCTGGTGATGCATACATTGATAGATTGCTAGGGTACATCCATGCAGGTATGCATCGTGATTTGCAACAAGTCCAGAAATATCTAGATTGGCAGAATGTTGGCGCATGTCCATACGATGCTTCGTGATCTTGATATGCTATCCAATGTTTTGTTGGAGTCACTCTCTAAAACTCACGAACCCATTGTTACAAAAGGACGCCGACGGCAGCGGCAGATGGGAAAGCAGCAACGTGAGGGTCTCTGGCGGCGCGAGCGTTCGCCCTTGGGGAGATGACGCAAGGGTTGAATGGCAATAATGGGAATTAGCCTGAAAAATGGGAGATATTTTTACTTTCCGGTCTCTGCACCAATTAGGAATGCATACAACCATTTTAGTATCAGTACCAAGATAAACATGGTCCTCGGAATTTTTAAATGAGTATTAAGATATTTCTTGATGAGTGGTTCCACCACACACCAAGTTTGACCCTCAATAAATGGGGGAAAACCATGTGCAACACCTTTCTAGGAATTGAACTCAGATCGTTAGGCTGCACAACCGCATGCCCAACCACTGAGCCAAGACTCTCTTTGCAAAAAAAAAAGAATAAGAAAGAATAGTGAGAGAAAATATAAATTTTCCTCTTGTTATGTTGAAGCATTTGTTCTCAAAGAAATGACAAGATATACAAAAATGTTGCACCCTATGTTAGTGGATGGTGCAACTATCCCAAGGAAGGCCTAAAGATTTATCCTATTAGAGCAAAGCAATCAAGGCCGAACAGATGAATCACTAGATTCAAGTTAATATACTACCCTTGCTCTAGGACACTCACAACCCCCTGCACTAATTATACTCTCGTTGTGGCCAACAAAAGGAATTGGATAACTTCCTTTGCTTTTTCAATGGACTATATTTTGTATATAATTGTACTATATCTTAATAATAGTAATTTACCATAGGACAGTTGTTCTATGGTTCCGGGGTCAAATTATTTTTCCTCCAGCCACCATCCACAGATGTGCAGTTTTTGTTTCTTTGCATGTGAAAAAAGAATAAGAAAGAATCGTGAGAGGAAATAAGAGATACGATTTTGTGTGCCAACGAAAAATCAAGTGCCTCGTAGTAGAGTAAACTCCAGGAATCAGCTGAGAAGAAAATCCATGTTTCTTGATTCGTACGACTGTGTATTGTGCAATGACAAGACTGAAGAAACATCCATGCACCTGTTCTGGGATTGTCCTTTTTCCATCCATTGCTAGAATATAATCATGCCCGCAAAAAGAAGAGGAATATCAAGCTTTGATGAGATTTGTCTGGCCATTTCAGTCCTTCCAAAGGATTTAGCGATGGACCTTATCATTGCTGGCTGCTGGAGTATATAGTTTGTTCGTAATGACAAGATTTTCAAGCAAGCAGTTGCTCGCCCTCTGTGTTGGAAATTCTATATGAGAGAAAGCCTTAAAATGATAATGCTGAGAGCTAAGACAGCTAAAGCAAACAAGATCCAGTCCTGGATGGAAAGTAACATGTGATCTTTCTCTATGTTGGAACCCAGTGGTATTGGCTGAGGCTTTTTAGCCTGATTGTAAATTTTACTTTCTGTAAATATTTTATTTAATGAAAATATATCGTAAAAATATTGTTCTACGGTTTGGCGGTAAAAAAAAAGTGCCTCGTAGCAGGGAGTCCCCCTAAATGGTGTCCGGGGTGGGGGAGAAAACTGGGGATACAATTAGAGTCTATTTTTGCGAAATAGATATAATTAGTGTTGCTATCTAGCAACAAAAATGGAAGAAAATGTACTGCAAAATCAGTCAATATTTGCCTCTAACATATGCCATAGACACCCAGTTAGTCTGTTTCAAATGGATTTGTTTGTATTTCTGTAAAACCGCCAAATAATGCATGAGAGACAATAGTAACCGGGCACGGTAATGTGTAACAGCTATTGGTACTTAGCCGTACTCGTGGATCACCCACATACATATATAGGAAAACTAAAGCATGAAACACAGAGAAAATTAATTCGGTGCTATCACAAAGTTGTGTCAATTGAAACACAAAAAGACACAAATTTAAATGCAATTTGAGAAACATAACCTAGAATTTAGAAGTAGTCCCGTTGTACGTCGAACGGTAGTACAAAGAGGAAGAAAAAGAGAGATTCCCCCGCGAGCGAGAGAGAGATATTCCGGCTACAGAATAGACTGCAGGTGCTTCATTGCTGGTTCCCTGAGATGGAAGCACGTGATAAACACAAGATCCAAATAGTCCCTTCATAAGGGCATGTACAGTGGTTGATAAGGTAGCCTTATTTTAAGTCTTGCATGTAATTTAAATATGGCAAGAAAAAATATATACAATGGATCATCTCTTAGCCTTATTTTCAATAACTAGGAATTCCTAAAAATATGGTGAGACATATTGTGCTAAGAGATCATCTCTTGTCTTCTCTTAAATAAGAGAAGACAAGCCTTTTCTTATGAGTTCTCTCTCCTCCACCTCATCAATTATCCTACATGGCACACCTAAGATAGTATCATTGTACATGCCCTAAGGCCAACTCCACCGCGCGACCCCATCCTGTCCGGCCCTGTCCGTTTGGGGCAAAAGGGACAAATGAGGCGGCCCAGCGCGCGACGGCCCGGACCCATCCTGTCCGTTTTGTGTCCGTGCCGACCCATTTCGAGCGCAAACTTGCGCCGGGTTTGGATCGCGGCGGACACCAAACGGACGCGGGCCTCGTCCGCTTCGGGGCCGCGTGGTAGGCGGCCACCTACCTTCCACCCGCCCACATCAATGCGCACGAGCGGGCGGCCCCACCTGTCATCCGCACGTCGAACGGACGCCGTCCTTCTTTAAGTGGGAAGCATGGACGGGT